GTTTTATTATTAGATCGAAAGCATTTTAAGGGTGAGTGTTTTCAGAGGGGTTTTGTCTTGTTTCATTGTCTCACTTAGACATTGCATGCAACGTTTAAGAAAGTATCTACAATGTATAAATAAATATTATTTGCTGAACAAATCAATGAGTGAATGTTTTGCTTCCAATGCTATAATTTCCATCACTGTCCATTCCTTAGGGAAATGCATGGGGACTATTAACTGCTGAGCAAATGCAGCTCTGTTGGTTTCAACTCCCAGGTGCCTCTGAGCAGGTCATAGCCCTGATTTCCCACGGCACCTTCTCGTCTTGCATCTAGTAGTGTCTCAAGCACAAGGAAAAAAGGCAAGAGGGAAAGGATATAAAGCTGTGGGAATCTTCAGCCTGTCAGTTCTCCTGTGCTCATGGTTTTGGCTATGGTTATACTGACCGCCCGTTACTTTCCAAGGACTAGGTGCTTCAGATTCCAGGCGCTCAGGGAGGCCATGAAAGAATGATTGTGTCTTTCCTTACTGACAAGCAACCTGCCAGCCCCCTGGGATTGCTCAGGCAGTCAGTTTTCAAGAAGCTAGCTCAGGGATTCACCTGAACTCTGAAACATGAAGCACTGAGGCTGGTCTATTGAAGCTAGACACAGTTGCAAAATCCAGCTTCTCCACTCTTTGAAGGGGAGGCCAACAGCCAGATTACTCTGGGAACCCTTAGATGAGGATGTGCAAAGGCCTCAGGCTGTGCCCCTTGAGTAGGGCTGCTCCCTATGCTTGGTGGCTTTCCAGAAAGGGATGTTTGGTAGGGAGGGACACCCCGTTGGATAGTCCTGGGCCTCAGGACCTGAGATTAATTGCCACTGGGGATTACACATCCTAAAACAGTAAAATGAGTTTTATTTCATTGATAGCAGCTCCCAAGCTTGTTATCAGCAGCTCAGCAAACCATCTGCAGCCAGGAATTTCCTCAGGGGAGGGAAATGGTGGGGGAGGGTGGATGTGGGCAGTGCAGATGGCTCCTAGCACTTGCAAGTTGAGAAGGAATCAAAGAAAACCCTTCTGTTACTCTCCCCCACTCTTCCTAGCAGGTCTTTTATCAAGTCCTGGCTTTCTAAAGAATGCATAGATCTCTTCCGAAGGTGGAAGGTTGCAAGCAGAGGTGGGGACCCGTGGAGTTGAGGGGCAGATGGGGTGCGGAATGCTCCACAGCTCTGCATGCAGCAAGCTAAGTGCCCAGGATGGTTCTAAACCCCTTCTCTATTTTCCCCATTCACCTGTTCTTTATCTTTGTGGTGAGGGTGGGTGAGGTGGGCGGGGAGTGTGGGAGAGGAGAGAGGAAAGAACAATGAAAGTAGGGAGGGGAGAGTGTTCGGGACATTACATACAATATGGGCTGGCGAGCTGGTCTTTGTTTTCTATGGTAAAAACATTATCCAGTTCAGTCGCTCCCTGTATTTCCCCAGTACCCAGGCGTCAGTTGTATTTTGAAAGGTTTGAGTCGCCCTGCCACATAAAGGACCACGACCAGGTGAGAGGCAGATCGAAGACAAATGGGACATAGAATGATTAGTGCAAGAAGGGATTTTTTATAAATACCAACATGGTCACATGACTAGTAGCAAAAGGGAAGGTTTTAGTAACTACATGTATTTTCTTGCTTGCTTTCATATGTATATATAAAAAAAACAAGTTCTTTTTCTGTTATTACTCACTCCCCTCTATCCAACATAAAGTGAGTTAAAGTGCTTAACCCTATCATTTGGTATCAAGGGAAAATAGCATCTGAACTGGGAAAGGAATGAATATTCCCAGAGGTGAAGCGACATATGGGATGCTATGTCTTTCTTGGGAAGTCCTAATCTGGAGTCAGAGCGATGAACTGTGATCATGTATTTTTAGTTCAGCCTTATCACCCTTTCCTAAGGTCTCCTCTGCAATCCAGGGAAGCAGACACCCCATTTCTTGGGATGCTCTTTCCTGCGTGGTTCTGGCAGAGCTTATCCTGGGTAAGATGCAGAAGAGGGAGAAAAAGCAAAGCCATTCTTCTTCACAAACAGCTGCCGCCATCACTTGGGTGGCTGCGACTCCCACTGAACTCCTGGAATCGCTCACTTCGCAGTTGTAGTGGAGATGGTGGCAGTTTTCCAGAAACCCCAGCCCTTTAGCAGTTTCCTGCTGGTGGCTTCCCTAACCTTTCCTCCTGCTCCCCCAAGGTTTGTGCAAGACTCTAAGTTCTACATGAAATCTTATTGTGTATTAAAATGGTGACATACATGCCGGCAACACAGGAAACAGTGCTTTCGTGTGCCAGTCTCAGGGCTGCATGACCTGGCACAGGGGCTGGGGGAGAGCATTTGTCTCTCACGCCACCTGACAACACCTGGCTCGTGACCGACTCGAACTTTTCAACACTCTGCTCAGCAGTGTTTGCTGCAGCAAATGCTGCCCCAGGACCGGGGGACTGGTGAGTGGGAGAACGAGACACAGGTCTGGACTGTCTCACTCTGGCTGCTGTGTGATCTGGTGACAAGGAAAGGGCCAGCCCGGAGTCACCTGCTGTTGAGCTGGTGCTGATCGGGTGGGTGACCTTGACGGGAAGTGCCAGGGTGTGGACAGAGACAGCTCAGAGTCTGCCAGGCCATCAGGGCTAGGGGCCCTGCTGTTTTCAAAAGATCCTGACAAACGTGAACGCTTGTCGCAAAGCTGCTCAGCTGGCCACAGAGCTCCCTTAGAGTGGGCCCCTTTGGGAGGACCTTGCTTCTTTCTGCTTGGGTGCCTAACTTTGGCCTCGTGTCGTCCCACCCTGCCCGATGGCTGGCAGGAGGTATGCGCTGAGAATCCTGGCAGGGGCAGGGAGGGAGGGAGGCTTCTGCCTGGGAGTGGTCCCGAGCACAGACGCTGGAGAACACTGTTGGCATTTCAGTTCTGCCACCACCGTGGGACCCTGTGCAGGTCTCTTCGCTTCTGTGGCCCTTCGTTTCCTCATCTGTACAATGAGGATATTAATCACACACACCTCACTGGGAGGGTAGCCCATGCGACGATCTTAGAGCAGCATCTATCTAGCTCGTAGGAAGCGCTGTGTGAGAATAAACTGTCATTAGTATCGCCGCCCCAAGGAAAGGCCAGTGGCCACGACGATAGAGCCTTGGGGTGAGCAGGGAGTGATTCCAAGGCGGCGCCCCGGGCCAGGCTGCCGTGGACCCACACCTGACTCCCGAGCATAGCGGCGGCAAGAAGTGGAAACTAGGAGAGGTTTTCATGAAAATTCTATGAGACCACGGGGCTCTGTCCTGGAGTGCTAACGGGCAGGAGGGAGGGCAGTCTCCCCTTGGCAGGGCACACAGCACAGAAGCAGGAGTCAGCAGAAAGGAGCCAGTGCCTGGCAGGGGACGTGCGCATGGGAGCTGACAGGCTCGTTTTGGACGGCACTCCAGACACCCTTGGGACCGCCGGAAATAGCTGAAGAGGACTCTGTCGGGGGGAGAAAGTCCCACGTGAGCAGGAGGTGTGCGGGTCTCTCACAAGACCAGGGTTACACTTACATCAGGTGCCAGTCCCTTGGTGGAAACAGACCAAGGGCTCTGGTGTTGGGCGGACCTGATTTGATCCTGCCTTTGCCGCTTGCTAAGCTGCAAATACCCAGAGAGCAGGGACATCTTATTCGTTATGGAGTGCATAGAAGGACTCAGCACATGGACAGATGGATTTAATATCGGTCTCTCCATCTGTAAAATGGAGACAGCATAATGACCTCTAAAGCTGATGCAATCACTGTCACCCAAGTTCCCTAAATAATATTTGATTCCTTTTTTTTCATAGTAAATATTCAGTATCTCGCTTAAGATAAAAACTCAGTACATCTGATGACTCACACTGATGAGTGCAGTTTTGGTGCAGCAAATGTGGTTTGCATCTGCCAAAGACTAGATCCTTTGAAAGGAAAAATCATACCTCTTACAGGTTTTTCCCAAAAATTTTCTTGAAAATTATGCTTTTCAAGAGTCATAATTCAGTGCTTTCTGACAAAAGTCAAAATATAGCTAGCTATTGGTGAGTGCTATTGAATTTTAGGAGAGTAAAAGACTGCAGATAAGTTACTAAACAATACAGACAGATTATGATCTGACATGGAAAAGCTGTAATATAGAAAATATGTTGATTTGGACCCAAGAATTCGTAATATGCTACCCTGCTTATTACTGTTAAGCCCTTTCTTTCGATGCACACTTAAAGTGCTTTTGCCCAACCCTGTTCAGGCAAGCTTGGAATAGGGGTCTTTAGTTGCTTTTGTGCCCACGGCAGGTCCTTAAGAAATGACCAAATAATCAACAGAAAGGGCCTGTTTCATGCTTCGAAATAGTCCTCATTCCCTAAAGACTGTTTTGACTCTTCCCAGTCCGACCTCCATACTGTGCCACTGGAAGCCAGGAAATTAAACTTCTTAAACCCAACCTTAAGGTTACCTCCATCATCTAATCAACATGTTCTAGTTTGCAGGTGGTCCAGTTCTCTCCTATGGAGCAAAATGCATGGGTTTTGTGGTTGCTCTTTTCTTCGGAATCAGAATAACCTTTAGTTAGCACCTGGGAGTTTAAATTATATTCTGGATGACTGAAACTTTCTGTTTAACTGTCAGATCAAGATGAGTGTGCTGAATTTAATTTTTTGAAGGGGAGTGAGACAAGTTTCAAATGTACCAGTAATGCCAATATACCTTAATGTGACTTGAGTGTGTATTGCCCTAAACTCATGGAATCAAAGTGTTTGTTTTCACATCAATTTTATAAGGTACACAGTCTAAGAGTAAAATGACTGCTTAGAAAGTTTCTTCAATTCTGTTTCAAGATCAGAGAGAGCTTCCTGTTATGCAGAAAATATCATTTATTGATGTGGGATATACTTTCTTTACAAAGAAGTCAGAGCTACCTAGTATGATCAGTATTGGACATATCCACTGAATGGCTTGAATAATAAAACATATTAAAATGTGAATCGCCACCACCAGACACAAGCTATTAACAACTTTAATCGATATAATTATAATTGGTATTCAATATTTCTTACAACAAATGTGGATACAGTAACATCAAATATCAAAGAAGTTTCATATCTTTCCATCTTTAAATGACATTTGTCGACTCACCCCAAGAGAGAAATCTGGTATTGATCTCTTGGTTAGCACTATAACCAATATCAACTAGTATTTTTAAAATCAAAGTTGAAATGGTACATTCTTTTGCTAAAAAAAAAAAAAAGATTAAAGGCAAAGAAGGTGAATCAACGTGCAAATTAGCATCTGGCCCAGTTGCAAAATTCATGTCCCAGATGGGAGGGATCGAACCATGCACACTTGCAAGTGAGAAGAAGAGAAACAGATGACATCGAACCAAAATCAACTTCACGCAGAATCCAGAAGACTTCAGGATGGCACAGGCCAGAGCTCTACTGCTGCCAGTGCTCAAGTATAAACTCCGTGTTACCCTAACCGTCTGGATTCTGACTCGAGGGTCCATGAGATCTACGTCCTGGGCCAGACCTTCCTTTGGAAATAAAAACTATCGTTTATGATCCCAGGCACAATTAACCCTGTGGTCAATCAGCTGCCCTGGGGCGTGGGGTGCAGTCCAGACCTGTGACAGCTGTCTGACGGGGCCTAGGATGCAACTGTCACTCTACAGAACATGTAAGAACACCACACCGGCATAACAGCAAACAAGAAACAGAGATCACTTATGTATCTATGTAATACTTAAAATGTCTATAAATATTTTTTCTCCAGAAACAGAAAACACTGTAGATGTGATTTCACTGATCCTCACAACACGTCTGTGAGGTAGTACGGGGTGAGGTCACTGTGAGAGCTTCACCCAGTTTGGAAATGAAGACACAGACGTGCAGGGAGGGCAGGAGATTTCATTGGGCCATGGAGAGGAAGCAGTCGAATCCCACTCTTTCGACACTTGTCATCTATGGTTGGGGAGTGGCTGCTTGCACCCCCCTGCTCTGACGTTCTCTCTAAAGCTCTATGACTGGTCCTATCACAGACACCGTGTGGAGTTTGGGCCCCCTGGAGCTGTTTCCCTGGGGAACACCTGACAGACTCCCTGAGGTCCAGTCAACCATCGGCATATATTTCAGGGGTGTGCGCGCGTGTGTGTCTGCGTGTGTAAGTGACACTTGTAGAATACAATTGCTAAAACCCTTTGGCCAATTCAAAATCAGAAAAGATACATTTGGCAAAATAAGGCTCAACCTTCAGGTGTTTTATACTGACAGAACATCACAGAGGGGGTTAGAGTTTTTGCAGGAAGCTGTCACCTTGCTGAATACATCTGCTTTAGGCCCAGAGCCATGAGCCCTTTGCCATGAGCATCTGGAAGTTTATAAGAGCAACAAATCCGTCACATGCTCTTGCACAATAGCAGCCTTTGGTAAGGAAAATTATTTGTGGAGTCCATGGTTTGTAATCGGTCGGGGTTCCTGGGAAGAGGCTGGTCCCTCTGACCCAGTATCTATGACAGAAGCAACACCCAGAGGACACCTCCCCAAAGGCATTTCATGGACATTTTGTCAAACTGGTTTTGGCCATGGGAGGGAAAAAATACCACATATGGAATGTCCTATTTTTACTGGCTTGTCCTTTGTCAAACTGAAAGCCCTATGGAGGGGCAGGATGGGGAAGAAAGACAACGGGGCACCCTTGGTCACTCTCGTCCATGTTTCTGGGAAGACCCACTTTTATTATCTTTGAACTTTAGCACCCAGAGACATCCTAATCCTTCTAGGCCACTCCGAACTGTCCACTCTTGTTGTAAAATACCTCTCTCTGGGAGTTGCTCAGTCGTCTTTGGCACCTATGGAGCTTAGAAATAATTTTTTTTCAGAGTGTGGGATGGCAGGTTGCAGAAAGTGACACTATTCCTAGTGTCTCCGACGACAGAGATGTTTAGCAAAGCAAGGGTGGTTTTCACGTCAGTGCTCTGCTGGGCCACAGCTAGCGACAGGGTGAGCTGGAAGTCAAGTCTCTGCAAACTAAATGGAGTCATGGCAGCAAGATCTGAGTTTAGAAATAAAAACTGACCCATTTTCAAGTTCCTTATGACAATGTAGGCCAATATAACACATTTTGAAATGGGACCCAATGTTTGTTTTTTACGACATGAAATCAGGACATAAAATGTTGATTGCTAATATCATGTTAGAGGAGGACAGAGTTACAGCCCATGAAATAAAGCTCTCTAGAAAACATACAGAAATAAAAAGATGACCATGCATACCAAACACAATCCATCAGCCAACAAACTAAACACTTTCAAGATAAAAATTTAACATATCATCTGATTTTGTTAAAAAGAAAGCATGACAATAATCTTACTCAATAATCTTACTCTTATCAATAATCTTACTCTCAGCACTGTAGATATTTTGTGCCAGATGATTCTTTGCTGTGGTGGGCTGTCGTGTGTATGACAGGATGTTTGGCAGCATTCCTGCCACTGTCCGCTACTACCACACCCAAGTCATGACAATCAAAATTGTCACGAGACGTTTTCAGATGTAGGATCAGGAGAAAAAACCACCTCCTGGTTGAGAATGACTTCAATAAACGGATGAATACGGAGATGAACAGTTCTTTCTGAAAGATTTAAGAACTACACACAGGGGTGTTCATTTATTAGAGTGAAGAATTAGATAAGTGTACAGGAAGAATAAATAGAATAATCATGCTTTCTGTTTCCTGTGGAAATGCCATAGTGCCTCTTTTTTTTTTTTTTTTTTTTTTTAAAGTTTGCAGCCATTGTCCAACAGACAGAGTGAGGAGGGACCAGTTGCTTTATGGTGTAAAGCAAGGATTTTCTGGGCTCCTCTAAGCAGAGGATGTTGCTGACAGCTGATTTCCATTTGCCCTGATGAGACACTCAGTGCAGGTGAGCATCCTTCTCCCCACCCCCACTCCCGCTTCCAACCCCGCACACGTGTGCTCGATCCACCTGCCTCTCCGTTTCTATCACTCAGCTCATCTCACAGCCTCCTGCTCTGCAAATGCAACTCTGCTGTAGCTCATGGGCTGGGCCCTCAGCTGCATGTGACCAGAGTGGGCATCCTGTGCGGGCGCAGGTGGCCGGGCGCGGGAAAGCAGGTGGAGCGCATGCTCAGATCCACCGGCCACCTGCCACGCCGCTCCCGTCTGCGAGGCCCTCCAGGGCACTTCGGGTTTCCTCCTGTCATTAACCAGGCAGCTAAGGAGCTGCGATTCCGCTTGCAGAGCCAAGCGGGCATCCCGTCAGCCACAACCAGATAAGCAGATTATAAAGGACTTAGAAACCCCTGCTCCCTCCCGTGAGGGCGAAACCCTCCTAGGACTCATCTCCTTTCCCCTCATTGATATTTCATGTGATATCCTGAATAGGATTAAGAAATACACAAACAAAAGGTTCCCCTGAAAGTCACCCCAGCGAAACAACCCGAGTGCGCTTCCTGGGTCCTTCTCAAACCGGGTCCTGTGGTGTGGCCGCAGCGAGGCTGGCCCATTTCAGCTGAGAATCAGCCCCTACTCACCTTGAAATCATGGTTCTTTTTGTACCAGAAAGGGGAAGTTGTAGCAGCGAGAGGAGAGGAAGGAAAACAGAAACAACCATACCAACAAAACAGGGCTTAAGATTGTCATTTTCAATGTGCATCAGGTGCTTGTCATAAATTCTACTGGATAAGCACTTATAAATAAAGAGCAGTCAGTCCTCATGCCAGGCCGCGCCCCTGTGTTAGGAGTCGTCGTACAGAGGGTTGTTGTAGTTTCCCCAGGACCCGTAGTCGTGGTCATCCAAGAGCCTTCCGTAGGAGGAGTGCCTGGTGAGGAAGGAGGAGAGGCTGTGACTACTTGGAGAAGTGGCCTGTCCCAGAGCAGCCTAGCGGCCTGCAGCCTGAACTGCCCAGACTCGCGGAGCCACGAGCAGGAAAGCCGTGACGCTCCACTAGGGTGACAGGACCCCATGCGTGGAGGCCCGTGTGCCCAACACCATGCAAGGGATGGCTCAGCTCCCAGCTGGGAGCCCACCGGGCACCTTCTGTTGCGATCAGCTGGGTCCCCGTCGCTCTCCTGGGTCTCCCAATACGGGGGAGAAAGAGGAGGCCCCATTTCTACAGCGATTTATTAAGACAGCCTGGGAAAGGAGGCTTGTGTCCTAGCATTCTGACATGGGTCCTGGGCTTACTGTTTCCTAAAACAGCAATGACACAGCCATGCCACTATGGCTATCACCACCGCTCCTGACATTTATATTGTGTCTTATATTTACAAAGCGCTTCTATATTCAGTTTTTACTTGGTCTTCAAAATAAAGCCACAGGGCAGGTATGGTTTATCCTTATTTCTCTGATGAGGGAAATGGGGCTCCGAGATGTTAAATGATGTGCCCCAAATCATCTGAGCAGTGAGTCAAATCTCTGCCTCCTGGACCTGAATCTGGTGCTCAGAGCCCAGGTTTCAGGACTCTGATTAGCACCTTAGTTCAATGGCAATACAGGTTAAATGGGATTTGGATGGTCATTTCTGGGAATTTCTTTCACAATTAATAATATTTATATAAGAGACTATAAGATTGTTATCACTTCTCTGTTAAAAACCTTTAAATGGTTCCTTACCTCACAAAGTCGTTAAATGGCTTGCAAAGCCCTACGGCTCTGAGCACATTGGCTACTATTACAGACCCCTTGCTCCTTCTGCTCCAACCACACGGACCTCCTTCCCTTCGCTCTCATGCCTGGCACACCCTTGCCTTAGGAGTGCACACCTTTGCACTTCTGGTTTCGGTTTCCTCAGCTTGGAACAATTATCCACCTGAACTGCACAGAGCTCATTCCTTCATCCCCTTCAAGACTTTGCTCAGATGTCACCTTCTCAGTGAGCCCTTCCTTCACACTCTATTTAGATTTGCAAGCTCCACCCCTAGGACCTCCTGCTTAACTTTTCTCATAGTACTCATCACCTCTAACATACTTTATAATGTATGTTTTTATGGTGTTATTGCCCCTCTTGCCTAACTAGACTATAAGCTCCATGGACATGTGGATTACTTGCCTGTCCTGGTTCTGTTTCTTCTCGGCTCTAACTCCAGCCCCCAGAAGAATGTTTGGCACATAGTAAGATAGGAGCTGCCTGAAGAGGGATATGATATTTTTAAGACTAAAACTTATGATAGGATTAGAAGAACACCACACAATGAGCATTTGGGGCCTCTGAGGTCTGCACCAGCATGTGAATTACTATACCTTGCCTCTGGAAATTATGTATGCTAGGTAGAGTACCAAAAAGCATGCCCATTCCCCCAGTCTTTTCATTAGCTAGATATGAAAATTAAACAAAATGAAAATACAATCTGAGAAGCACGGAAAGCATTTGCTATACTTATACTTATATCAGTTGCTAAAATAATTGCTGCTGCTTTTTTGAGGCTTATTTATATCTGCCAGGCATTCGCAAAGAGATGATTTTTTTTTCTTTGCAAAAACCAGGCCCTTGCTGTGTTTGTTTCAAACTCTTAACCTTTAAAATTCTGATTTATGTCCTTAAACTTGACTCAGCTGACCCAGTCTCCTGGAAACTTGAAGATGTTCTACCATTTACTTTGGTTTCCCTAAAGGTCCACGTTCATTTCTGTTGGTAAAGATGGGGTCTCACTCTTGCTCAGGCTGGTCTCGAACTCCTGAGCTCTAACAATCCTCCCGCCTCGGCCTCCCAGAATGCTAGGATTATAGGCGTGAGCCATCGTGCCTGGCCACCACTGCTTTTTTGATAGGAATACAGGAGGTAGTTTTGGTAAATGAAGATCATGGATTATCTATGGCCAACACTTCCCCAAATTTAAAATTCTCCAATTCCAATTAAATTCCTTGACAGGATGGTTGAGAAATGGAAGCTATAGAATTAACAAGTAAAACTCTGATGATTACAGCACTGGAGCTCAGCCTAAATTTCAGCATGACTTACTGCTGCACGCCAGGCAGACATTTCCCTAATAAACATGCTCCTTTACTGATGGGGTACGGCCGCCTCACCTTTGTAAGGTAAATGGGCTTCTCGCAGCAGTTTTATCTCTATGATATGTTATTCCCATAAAATGTCAGTTTGGTCAATAAATGTATGTTCCTGAATAAGTTTTTAACCCCGTTTCTTCCTTTTTAAAATGTAGAATTTTTTTTAATTGAGTTAAAGTTGTGAGAAGGATTAAATGAGGTAATGCATATAAAAGGCCTGGCACATAGTAAATGTGCAATGAATGTTGGCCAATATTACTTTTGATTTTTATTATAATAAAACTTATACAAGCACATGGTAAATCTGCAAATAGTAAAAAATGGCACTGAGTGAAAAGTGAATCTTCCTCCCACTGGAAACTCCTAAAACTATACCCCAGCTGTTCCTTATACTATTGTTACCATATTTGGATTTTTAAAAATTATTATTATTCTGGAGTGAGGTCAGAGGATTAAAACTCTTCTGTTGGGTTTTGCTGTCTATGGTTATTTTAGGCAAGACTATTTGGTCAATGCTGCATCCGAATCTGTTATAAGAGCCATCTCCTACAAAAACACTAGTAAAATGAAGGAAAAAAGACTTGTCTTTACTTTCACTTTTCTTGCCTTCCCCTGTGGATGCACAGTGAGTGAATGAGATGCTGTTAAGTGAGGAAAGAGAGGCAGGAGATATGCATAAACCAAAATTGGGCATATACTGAATGCGCAGGGCTGTTCAGTACATTAATGAGCCTAAACAAGGAGAACTGGGATTCCAGCCAGGTTTGGATAAATCTGGTACTTCTGTAGAAAGAACAAGACAAATACATTTTTTGTGCGATTGATAAGGGGAGAGTCATTAGTGAGCATGTTAAACTCTCTCTCGGTTAGAACTTAAATCATGCCACATTTTGGATGGAAATGGTAGGTTTTTCAGATTGGCATTTAACGAGTCTATGAGGTAAAAAACAGAACAGAAAAACCTCCCACTCTGGGATTAAGAAAGCGGGGCAGAGGAATTCACAGGACTTTGCCAGTGTTATTTAATGATACTGAAACCAAGGTCTCCTCACTTCGTAAGGCAACATTGCTCCATCTAATTTCAATTGGAGCAGCAATCTGTACGCATGAGATCCAAGCCATTTTGTTTACTCAATTTCTTAATAATGACTGGCACCAACGCAAGACAGCTGTGTTTTCTATCTGCTGTGCCTTGGCTCCCCTTAGATGGTAAACCTCTTGGGGACAGACCGTGTCTTACTTTTTTTGGCTTAGCTAAAAAAAGTGTTTAGCTACCTGAACACCTAATATGTTGCTCTTGGTGCAATGGTTATTTTATAAATATTTGATGATAACTGTGCTTACATCTAGTATCATATAAATAGTGTATGTGGAGTTTGCTTGGTCAACACAAGCAGGGATTTGTACGACCTGTAGAAATCATTGCACAATATAACTGCCACAAAGTGAAAAGATCTCATTAAGGAATACCAATGGTCAAGGCTTCTGTTTTGATTTGAAATGTAGGAAGCAAAAGAGAGCGGTGGCGGTCCCGCCGTGTGATGGCGTGGCACAGCCCTTGCCCGTCAGTGGCAGTTGTCAGTGTGACTCTACTGTGTTGCACGGCTTAAGAAGCAAACTAAAACCTAAGGGGGCAAATAAGGAATGATTTCTCTTAAGCCCTTCCCTCGATACTCTCTGACTCCAGCTGCTCTGCTCTAATAGAAAGTAGCAGTCCCTACTGCCTGCCCCCAATTGATGACCCCTTGTTGGTGACAAATAGTATACGTGGTGGTGGTGACATTTATGGTTTGAGGCCTTCTTTACTACTGCAAAATGGTACCTGTTTTAAGATAACTGTAGCGTCAATACTTAATGGAACTTGATTGTCTTTGAAAATGAGTGAGGTGTTTTACTACCTTTGTGTTGAAATGAAACATATTTTAGAAAACACTTGTTTCACAAGGGTCAGCCCCAGTTCTCCACCAAATCTCCACCTTTATTTACAAGGACACCCTGCAAAGTCCTCTTCTCTTTAGTCAAGGGAGTCTTGCCATTCAATCATCAGCACTTATCATGTACAAAGAAGGAAGGATAAAAGATTAAGACAAGGCTTAGTGCTGGGAAAACACCACTGAACTTGCAGCTTATTAGCCATCAGTAATTATGCCTTAGACTCTTATCATCCATTAGCAAAGCTGTTTGGGGCAGCTGTCACCGTCTCCTTTTTTTTGGTTTCTGTTGGTGGCTATTTTTTTCTGATTGACAGATTCTTCTGCACATTAAAGTCTGAGAACCACTGAGCTAGAAAGTCAAGTAAAGTAGACCTACAGAACTCCAAAAGCTGATCTGAAAAAGTCGACCTGTGGGTAACAAATTCTAGAAGATCTTAGCTCTCGTGGCTGGCTGGGCCTACTCTTCATACCTAACAACCAGAAGGAATCCAGTTGTTTAAAATGCAATCATTAGAAGACATAAAGCAAAACAGGTGACTTGTAACAAGATGCCTTAAAAGCCAGGCCCTGTTGTGTCTATAAATCAAGATCACATTTATTTTTGTGAAGGGAATGGCCCGTGTTGTCTGTCTGGGTTACCAGTGCACCTAATTATAGCAACATCCACATCACTGGCCTTAGCAGATACGGTCTCCTGTGCGAGATTATCTCGTGGCTGAGCAGTTTTGTGCCAACTTAAACAAAACAAAACTGACTTACCTCATTCTTCAATCATCATTAATTAAAGACACCCTTGTGCAAGAGGCAGGCAGGGCCTTTGCTTTCTTTTAAAGTTGCAAACAAGCTCTGGAATAAAGACTCTTCAGAGATGGTTTCTATTTATGAATGCATAGCATGGATGCGACTTCACAGGCATCTAAGAACAGCACCATTAAAATAGCCAAGATGGAATATGGAAGCCCACCATGTCCATGCACAGTTAGCAAACTGCGCTGTTCTGCCATCTTCCTCCTCCTCTCCCCTCTCCTTTGAACCCTTCCCGCCTACTGAATGGCAATGGCAGGGTGGGGCTGTTCTCCCGACCTCAAGGCCTACTGTTGGCGGCTACCACCTCACTGCGCAGCTCCGTGCTAAGTGCTGTCCTAACACCCACAGCAACAGCAGTAGCCAGCCTTTCTGTCACCCTCACCTCACACCAGCACTGAAAGTTGATGCGTATTACAATTTAATCCTCACGACAACTCTGAGTTGGTATCATTATAGTCCAATCTTACAAATGAGGCAGCTGAGCGCAGAATGGTTAAGAAACTTGCCCCAGAAGGCATCTTCTTAGCCACCATGCCAGACTCTCTCCAGGTACTCTGCAATCATTGCTTCACTTCAGCTTTCAAACAACCATGAAAGGTACATATTATTAGCTCTATTTTTGCAGATTGGAGAAATTGAGGACCAAAGAGATTATAATTTCCCCAAGGCCACCTAAAGAGTAAGTAGAAGGGTCAGTACTGAACTTGACAGCAAAGCTCACATTCCTCACATTCCTCCCTTCGCTGGTTAAAAAAGGGGTCCAAGACAGAGAAGGGCCCTGGTAGTTTCCAGGGGTAGTTCATTTTTATAAGCCACATCCCAAAGTGGCTCAGGTTATAAAAAAATGTGGTTCTCTGGGCAGGGGACACTGTGACAAAACTAGAAGTCATGGGTCCCTAGAGAATAGAAGTATGAAAAACAGATGGCCAATGTGTTTACCAATGCCTTTGGAGGACGTGAGGATTTGGGAAGAAAGGGGAAAGCATGGAGCCACCGTTAGCAGAGCTTGCAGAGTGTGGTGCTCTTCTGGTTGTGATGCTGCCTTTTCCAGCCAACTTTCCCCTTGCATCTGCAGGGACATTGGCTGGGCCAGGTCTCTAGCCTATGGGTGCAGGCCAGAAGCTAATGGTTCCCTTATGGGTGAATTCAGTCACTCACTGCTCCTGCCAAGCAAGCTAAAAGACCACAGACAACAGGCCTCTTGTGTTATTGTTCTCAGAAATCTGGGATGAGAGAAGCAGAATACATTTCCAGCTAAAACAAAGCCTAATCTTAGGTACGCATATGCACACACGCACATGCCAACGGAGCCAACTGCATTTTTGATGAATGATTAGTGGGGCTTTCCAAGAATCTAGCAAATAGCACTTGAAGGGGTTGTAGCATAGCCATAAGGTTCATAAGAGCTATTAATCTCCTTATGTCATCATTTTGCCAAAATAATTAAGAGAAGCAGAAAGGGATTTTCCTTAGGGAATTTCTGAAACAGAGATCTGATCACTTCATCCATCCTTAAGTTTATAAGGCTGAAACCTAAGTAGCACAATAGAGAAATAGCAGTCTTATATTTATGCCACTGTGGACCTTTCTACATTTAGGAGAGAGGACCTATATGGGGGAGAGAAGCAATCATTAACTCAATTTAATCATTCACTTAATTTATCTGGTGTTCAGAAGGCCTGGGGAAAATATAGTTCAGAATAAAATTTTAATCGGCACTCATCAGAACAAATTGTAATGGCCTGCTGGCAAAATTTTCCAAGCACAGTTAAGTTCTGTGATGGCAGAACTGGGTCTCATCACCAGTGTGGTCCCAGTGCTTAGACGAATGCCTGGCACGTGGCTGGTGCTCAGCAGCTCTCTAGCAAGGGGCTCTTTCCAGTTTGCCAATCTGACGATGGCAATGATGGTGTCGGCAACGCTATGTACTTGGGAAGCAGCACCCATTAATCCTCCCAACAATGCCACGTGGTAGTTAAAATTAATGCCTGTATTTTGCAGGTGAGGGAAATGAGGGCTGGTGATGCTCCACAGCACGCCGGGTCACAGCAAGAGAGAGTCACAGCTGCCTGCCAGTGCTGCTGTTGGTTTGAGTTGTAAACTTGAATCCTTGCCTAAGGTCAAGAGGACGAGCCCTTCAGCTTATTTCAGCAGCGTTTTGGGGACGTGTGTAGCGAGAGGGAAGTGTCCCTGTTTCGCTCCGCACTCCGTTGAAGGTTGTATCTCCACAGCCCTTCCAAGACTCGCCACTGGGGCTTCCAAAATGCCTCTAAAATTTACGTGTAAGTTCCTTTTTTTCTGGGCCCCGGGACATATTTTTCAACAGATACTCTATTACAAAATGGGAAAGAGGTTCCCAGAGAGGTTCATAAAAGCCAATTTAACTCATAATTAATATACAGCCTGTCTGCAGTGATAAACTAGTAATTAAACCAGATGGAAAAAGGTACCATTCAGTAAGATATAATTTATAAAATTAAGTTTTGCTGCTCAAGGAAATGCAGGCTTAATGAAGAGAATTATATATTTTTCAATCTGAAGGGGACTTTCCTGGATGCTTTTATAAAATCTTTTATTAGACACAGGTCACGCTGGCCTTTTAATTCCAATTTCTCTTTGCAACCTTCTTTGCTGTTCTCTGAGCCTTAGACACAGGTGATATGACAGGGCACTCTCCTACTTGCCGCCATGGCTAGGTTGATGTGGTGCATGTTTAGAACATGAGACGGAGGGGGAGAAAGGAGAAGGAGGAGGGGGTGCTCCCTCTGGGCTACACCGGGCTACACAGGTGGCTGCTGGGGACAGGGTGGCAGCAGAGCAGTGCATGCACAGGGATTTGGAGCCGGGTCGGGAGCTGGTGTCAGGAGCACCTGTGTGTGCGGCGGGCTGGTGGGACTGTGCGTCCCCATGTCTCCTTGTTCACTGTTCAATTTATCGAGCAGTGTGCTCACAGATGAAGTCTGGGTCTTCATGGAGCTTACATTTTTGTGGGGGAAAAGAGACAATAAACAAGCAAATATATTTAAAAAAATAAAATAAAATAACAGACCGTGCTAACAAGCAGAGTAAATGTAGTTAAGGCACTAAGAGGATAAATCACAAGGGCACCAAACTGGAAGGGGGTCTCTTGGAGGGAGTGAGATGAAAGTCCACGTGCGCAGCATGGTGCCAGGAAGAGCTGCAAGACAGGCATCTCGGGAGAGGGGCTGGCAAGACCAGGGGCTTGGGAGGGAAGGAAGGAGAGAACCCGGTGTGTGCCAGGAACTGAGGGTCGGGGATGGCTGGAGCTCGGTGGTTCAGAGGGAGACAAGGATGCCATGAGTTAGAAAGGGAGGCAGCGGTGGATCCATGGCACCCTTGAGGGCCAACCCGAGGAGTTACCATTTATTTTCAGTGCAGGGGGACTCGGGGGCTTTTAAGGGAGGGCATGGCAGGGCAGAGGGGTTTGCACAGAGAAGGTTCTGGCTGCGGAGGAGGAAGTGTTGGTGGCCAAGGGTGGCTGTGCCGTGTCCTTCTGTCCCGTGTTGCAGGCACTGCACAATCTGGCAAATAAGACTGCCCCTTGCCATCGGGCATTTCACAGCTGGAAGGACACTCAGGGAGTGTGAGTAATGTGGTTTTGAGGCTTGGATTTCACAGAGCAATGGAAAATCTCAGCTACTATCTATGATCACCTTCATTTCATAGGAGAAAAGATATTTTAAAACCACAAACATAAGGACATAATCTCAGGGGGAAAAACCAAGTTTTACAGAAAACACTACACTTTCCTTACGTTTTTCACATTTTGCATTAGAACCTGTGAAAACCTCCTTAATAGATTGGACACAAATCCAAGGACTGGTATGCAGAACATTAGTATTTAGGAATCACTGATTCCACCTCAGCTCCATCTCAGAGATGAGAAAACATGAGCTTCAGGAGTCCTGTGGCTCAGGGTATGAGGTGAGGTCAGGGCAGAGAGCCTGGGCTTCCGTCTCCTGACTCCAGGTTAATTCTTGTTCCATTACATCATCATGCTGTATATTTCAGCTTATTTATTCTACTCTGCCAAGTCTCAGACACTGTACAGATTCCTGTCTAGTGTGGAATACGCCAGCCATCTCCACTTCCCTGTCCATATTTCTGAGGGCCAAGGTGCCTGTTAAGGAACAAGCACTCAGCAAAACAGCTCTCAGCCCCGAGCCCTGTATAGGGAAGTCCTTTTCTTTACAAGGAAGAGTCAGACGCATCTCACCTGATCTTCAGGTACGCTGCGATGCCAAACACCAGCAACACCACGGCGATGACTGTCACGGTGATAGCGGCGATGCTGCCTGCCAAGGAGGAGAGGCACAGAAAAGAGGACAAAAAAGGGAGTTAAGAGACTCTGGAGTGCACAGTGCCTGCCTTCTGCCTGGCCCCATCGTTTCTGTGAAAGAGGAAAAAGTTCATTCTGCATAAAAGTCAGAGCAAGAATGAAACCCAGAATCTTAATTCTGTTACCAAAATGCTTTTTATGCCAGGTGAGGTCGGATACATTGTGAATATTTATCAAGAACTGTGGCTGGCCTAGACATCAGAGAACAGTATCCAGTAATATTTGATTGTCTTTTAGAGAATGACACCAATCTGCCGGTGCTGCTGCTGTTCACAGAGGTGGTGGATTGGACCAAATTTCTGGATGTCCTGTTTTCTTCTTTTATAGGCTCTGGCTCATGGGAAACTTAGGATGTTTTATCCAAGGGTCATGACAAAGTGATGTGGTTGATTTTTAAATAAACCACAACCACACGGCTGTATCAGTAGTGTCCACTTCAAAAGGGTCACCTTGCTCAGAGATACACTGATTTTAACGATGCTATCCTATCAAAACATTTTTAAAAACACCTCTTGGGGAAGTATGTCCAGTTTTCATTCTCGAGCAGTAAATTTGGTTTTATAGAGAATACAGTCGAGTTTAGTGTATAAAATAAGGTCAGTCTGATACATAACACTTTTTTGTTTATAGAAATAACCAGGTGCAATTATAAAGTAACACGAATGTTTTATTCTGCAGTTTGAAATCAAGTTCCAAAAGCAACTAATAACGGCAGTTAAAAATACCCTTTGAGCCCGTAGCCTTGTAAGAATGACCATACTGCCTCTGAATATTACTTGGAAGCACAACACTCTTTTTGTGTGAGCTTTGGACTAACAATGTATATACTTAGTTTTATTTCACCTTAGAAATACCAAGAATCAATCGAGCTCTTGTCCCCTTATACTTAAAGAGAATTTTTGGCACTAAAGCTGGTGTTAGGGACCTCATTTATGCTTTCAGGCCACTGGGAAATTATTTACTAGAACTTCAGCAAATGAATGGCACTCTTCTTACACACACTGAAAAGAGGGTAAGAAATTTGGAGTCTGAATATATGCATTAACCGTTACTAGCTGTGTGACTATGAGCTATTAGCTCACCTGCAGAGACAGAAGAATGGGAGTGTTCTACTCACTCACACGGTTTTAAGGGGATTAAATGAGATGCCATGTGCACGAACCTGAAGTACTGTCCGAGTGTCTGATTTGGGGCCAGTTTCCATCTCTTGTGTTCTAGGCCTCATAGGTGATGAATCTTCCCCACATTTTTGGAGATTTATCTTTGTAAATTACTTTGTCATATATCCTTTTATTATTTTTTCCCCCTCTGGTATGAATGGCTTTTGTTTGTTGTTCTTTTTATTAACTCTTCCACCAACAGAATTAGAACACAGCTAAGAAGCGAATCAGTCTACTTATTAACTCTTTAAGTTACTCCCCAAAAGTTTTGGGTGAAAGAAGCCTACATCAGACATCCATGCTTCCACTGGCCATAATTCATAAAACACAGTCAAAAAAGAACATTGCTAACATGGAGACTTAAGACCAGAGCTTGATGTCACTACACAGACTAACCAGATTCACCCATTTCAGAATGTGCACACTTCTGGAGGTTCTCAATCCATTTTTTTGCTCCTGGACTCCTTTTCAGACAGATTAATATAGTTATCAGTATGATCTCTTTCTCTTTTTACTAAAGACAAAACCATGGCACTGAATGCTCAAATGTGCAGATCTGGTCAGGTAGGGAAAGTTTGAGGTCAAACTTTCCACCTATGAAAAACCTCCACTCCTAGTTTGAGAGGCTGCTCTTAGCTTCTTGGCCTCCAAACTGTGTTGGAATTAGGACAATTCAAAGTTCACTGAAGCCTCATAAAAGCTCTTTAAAGAGCTTGTGAAAGGACTGTTATAACCGTAAGGTAAGGCGATGGGGGGTATTTTAAGATTCAAAAATATACAGCAATTGCAATTAGGAGCAGTTTAAAAACTGACCTTTTAATTTAATTTCTCTCTTTTAAAGAAGTGGAGGAAGAGGAGAATATAATCCATTTCCCCATAAGACTCTTCTTTCTTGCCTCAGAGATAGCTTAATATAGGAAATTGTAGGCTTGACCTTTCTCTAAGTTTCTTCTTTAACTCTAAGCAGTTGGTTCTCCTCCAACTACGTGATTTACTGAATTTATTTATATACCATCTCTTTCTAAAGATAAATCATGCAGTTCCCCCAGCTAAAGTGCTTTTCTTTTCTTTTCTTTCTTTCTCTATTTCTCTCCTTTTCTTTCTTTCTTTCTTTCTTTCTTTCTTTCTTTCTTTCTTTCTTTCTTTCTTTCTTTCTTTCTTTCTTTTTTTTTCTTTTCTCTCTCTCTCTTTCTCTCCCTTCCTTTTTTTTTTCTGAGACTGCAAGTGATAGACTGACCACTTCCTATTTATGGGATGGGTGGCTGTCTAGCTCTCAGTGTAGCCCCAATCTTCAGATGGGCCCCTTCAAGGCCACTCTTGCTTGTCCACGGAAGACATCAGCCTGTGTGACCAGGGCTGTAATTAGCAAGTGATTTTCCACCTGATGGGCCTTTGAGGGCAAAGGGGCACTTCTTAGAGTTGGTACAGCCCAATGAAGTCAAAAGGTATGAGATAAGTGAGATGGTACTTGAACATTTGGAACACCCGATTAACTATTCTGCCACCCACTGGCTCTTCTCAGCGGCTCTTCTAGCTGAGCTGAGCCAGGGAACAAGCGTCCTCCAGAAGCAGAAGACCTTGATGAGGTCCCCAGCCTGGGCGATCTTGTGTCCTGAGCTTGCTGTCACACCGAAGGCAGCTTCTGCTTTTGGAAGCAGCCCATAACCTCAGCCCTGGGAAATTCCACACCTGAGTGCATTACTGTTTGAGCATAAGAGCAGGGTTCGGGGGGTTGCTAATCTGCGCCAGCACTTCTTTAAAGGGTGGAAAGGCTTCATTTCCTCCTTGTGAAAACGAATGTCATTTCCCCCTCCGTTCTGTTAACACGAAACTGGAATTCCCCTTGTCCTACTCTTTCCTGTTTTAAGGTGTGGCTGTGGACAGGGGGGCCTCACCCTGTGGGAAGGTGAGGAACACTTGGTGGGCGTGGGGGAGGGGGTGGCTGGCATTTCAGTTCCTCCCCATTGGGATTTGCCAGTTACAGACTGGGTGTGACTCACGCTGTAAAGTCAGAATGGGCAGGAATGAAGAGAGAACTGGAGGAAATGTACCTGTATATTTTATAAGCTAAGATACAAGAATATTCCACTGTGCTAGCACATTCCACTTTGCTAATATGTTCTGCCTAACCAGAGGGCTACTGAAGATCCATGAACCAAAGCCTCCTTGAATTTTGGGGCTTCCCTGAAGTGTGGGATTTCTCAGGGTTGAGTTTTTGCTACTTTCATAAGGGCCTAGAACAAGAATAAATGTGCTAAAGAATGACCACAGCTACCATCTGCAGGTGATGACTGGGGTGGCACTGTGCTGAGAACAGCTATCACCCCATTTAATGCTCTTTGTGAAATGAGTGCAATTATTCCCATTTTATAGATGCGGAAGTTAAGGCCCAGCGAGATTCAGGTTTTACAGCTGGTAAATGATTGAACTAGCATTTGAACCCAAGGCAGTTTCATCCAGATTTTTCATTTTTAATCATTAATATCCTGGTTACTTCTTCCAGTCCTTTTCTCAGGTTGGCCAACTCCCACCCTTTCTTCATGATCTAACTAAATATCAACCCCTCTTAGAATCTTTCCCTGACACCCTTAAGTAAGTTACAGTATTGCTGTGTGTTCTTAGATCGTGGTGTCTGTATCTTTTTGACACTCTGCATTGTGTGTATGAGTTTACCAGGAAGATTCCAATCATATCCATCTTGCATCTCTTCCCATTTCTTTGTGCACTTTTAGCTCCAGGCACAGTCTCTGGCTCATAGTGGGTACTTGACTCATTTAATGTTGAATAAATAAACATAATATTGGTAGAAAAAATGATAACTTGATAACTGGAAGTGGCGGACCTGGCGGGGCTGCTACTCTACTCCCCTGCACCCCCGAGGAAGGAGGCTGCCCTAGAGGCTTCATTTTCCCTGCTTTGACTTTGCTCTGTGCCCTGCAGGCTCCTGGAATAAACCTCGGCATCATCTGAAGAGTCTCCCCGCAGCTGCCTCTCCTGCCGCAGACACGAGCCTCTACCCATCACACGCTGTCTCTATCGCCGCTCAGGGGGCTACGCTCACGTTCAAACCACCTCCCCTCACTGGACCAAAAGGACCCTCCTGCCTTCCTGAGTGTAACAACATTCCCATGCCTCAGATGTTCCTCTGCAGACTCTTCTCATGGATGGATTTCCCCCCCTTTAAACATGAAAGGAACATTTCACCTGACCTCTTTGGCAGGAAGACTTGCCAACTGTATCCAAAATAAAAATCTTAGGATGTGGTGGGACAAACCCAAACAACCTCTAAAAGAAAGAACTTTACTAGACTTTTTGAAAACACTGTTGTTCTGAGACAGCTGGTGGGAGAGGAGGTGGTGGTGGAAAGTTCCAGGGGTGGCAAAAGTCGTCTTGTTCCTATCCACGAAAGACTCCCGAACTACATTCTCCTTGAAACTTCACCAGTCAGCTTATTTGGAAGGTGCGTGTAAGTACTTGACCAAGTTCCTGGGCATGTGTGCGCACTTCTGATCTATTTTGAGAAGAGTCTTGAACAAACCTCTTGACTGTCTTCCAATATTCTTGCTCTTTTCTCTCCACTTCCTGGTCCAGAGGTTAGGTGAGAAACAGAGAAGAGGAGCAGGTGGCCGCTTCAGAGTGTGAGGTGGTGGCTCCTTCAGTCAAGGTCACCAACAGGAAAGGGACATTTAGTCTCACAGGAGTTCTTTCTCTTTAGAAGTCTGCATCTGCAGATGTGCCAGAGGAGGGAAGTGGGCGGTTGGCGAGGGCCTGACTGCACCGTGTCCCGAATCTCTGT